ACTTGTAGTTCCCTGATGATGGCTGATACTGAGCATCTGTTCATGTATCTGTTGGTCATCTGTATGTTTTCTTTGAAAAATGTCTGTTCATGTCCTTTGCCCATTTTTAACTGATTTCCTTGTTTCTTTGTGATCACTGTAGCTATCTGTGTATTTGAAGCAGCAGTCACTTCCACATTTATGGACTAATTGCAGAAGGGAAGACCTTCACCTGCAGTTGGTGGCACATTGGAGTGTGCTGTGAACCTGGGTCTAGTGGTACAGGGGTGCTGAGTGCAGGGATGTGTGGCAGCTCTGGGTCTGGGGTCTGTGGTGACTGCCGAACAGTCCATGGTGCTTTTACTAACTTACATTCCACCAGAAGTATATAAAAGTTCTAGTTGTTTTAAGATGTATGTAAAGCTCTTACATGTTTAATAAATACATGGTAGCCTTTTTTTTTTTTTTTTTTTTTTTTTTTGGTAAAGATGATTCCCAGGTAGCTTACTTGGGCACCAAGTAAGTGGGTTGGTTCCACCCACCACTGTAGGGAATGCAGGAAGGAGAGAGCTGGCATAAAGCAGAGAAAGATGGGGGAAGGAGATTACTTGGGCACATGTGTAAGTATTTAATAGAGATTTAGTTTGAAGCACAGAAGGGATGCCTGACCAAGATATAGAGATTTGAGAATCATTTTGATGATCCAAATTCAAGCCTTTGAGTATGATCTTAGGTGAAGATCAGAGTGGGGGCAGAAGAGAGTATATGGAGTGCATTAGGACTAGTCATAGTCTAGGACTATCATAACAAAATGCAAGAGACTGGATGGCTTGAACACCACCACCACCACCACCACCACCACCAACAACAACAAAATATATATATATCCCCTCACCAATCCTGGAGGGTAGATATCCAAGATCAGGGTGTTATCAGGTTTGGTTTCCTTTGAGTCCTCTTCTCTGCTTGTAAATGGAACAACTTCTCTGTTTGTCTTTGCATGGTCTTTCCTGTTTGCATGTCTGCCCAAATTTCCTCTTACAAGGGAGTTCTTATCTGATTAGAGCCTACCATAAAGACCTTATTGTAACATAATTACCTCTTTACTTTTTGGTAAGATTTATTTATTTGACAGAGATCACAAGTAGGCAGAGAGGCAGGCAGAGGGTGGAAGGGAAGCAGGCTCCCTGCCGAGCAAAGAGCCCAACGCGGGGCTCGATCCCAGGACCCTGAGACCATGACCCGAGCTGAAGGCAGGGGCTTAACCCACCGAATGACCCAGGCGCTCCCATAATTACCTCTTTAAAGACCTTATCTTCAAATATGGTTATATTCTGAGGTACTGGACATTAGGGCTTCACCATATGACTGGGGGGCAGAGCACACAATTCATCCCATAACACAGACTGAGAGACAATATAGAACAGATAGAGGGTATAGATTTCAATAAAAAACTTAAGAGGGCAGGCCAGGGAGGTAAAAGGAAAGCAGGTAGAGTGTTCAGTCTGTGAAAATGATGGGAGAGTTTCAGGGAAGGACATTCAACCACAGTTATCCCAGATTCCATTTCTAATCACTGGTACCAAATTGTTTTATTTTTCTATATACTTTCTTTTTCTAAAATGGAGGCTTTTGATAGAAATGTTGAAGTAAACGTTTAATAGGGTTTGCTTTACATATTCACTTGCACAATGGTTATGAATCAGAGTCCATTGCCAGAAAATACTCTTTTGTGTTTTGTTTTCAAATCTGTAAGAGAATGGCCTTGAAACCTTTTTTTTTTTTTTTTTAGACAGATGAGAGCTCATGAGTAATCAAATTTAGAAATCATGGTTTACTATTTAAAGCTTTCTACCACGACTCTTTATCCTTTCTAAAGTCTAACTGCATGGAAATTTTGAATGCTCACAGTATTTGTAAGGAGGTTTAAGGATCGTAGTGATAAATTCTGTGAAATCACTCTGCCTTGTCTTTCCCTGACCTCCAATATCCAGTTTATCAGCAGATCCTGTTAGTTCTGCTTCATACTTCGTGTCTTTTCGCTTCTTTGCATCGTCACTGCTACAGCTAGTCCAAGGGGCTGTCATCCTCAGCGTGGGCTACCACAGGAGCTTTGGGTTTCATGCTTCTGTTCCGCCCCTTTTGGAGAAATCTTTAAAAAGAAAAGAAAAGGCCAGCCAGACTACAGCTTCCCCTAATTGAAGTCTTTAGCAGCATCTTATTACACTTGGAACAAAATCCGCTCTCTAGGATACCCTAAAAAGATCTCTATGGTGAAGACGCTGCCGACCGGCCGCCTGCCCTCTTTTAGCACACCAGCCCGCTTTCTGCTTCTTGAACATACCTAATCGGTGGCTGCCTCAGGGCCTTAGCCGCCTTTACTCGCCCCTTCTCTGGTGTTCACATCACACCTTCCATCTTAGCTCAGATGTTGCCGTGGCAGAGAGGCCTTCCGTCAGTCCACAGCTAATATTACTCTTTCTTTCGTTTATATTATAGCATGTGTTCATCTTAAAAAGAAACTGCCAGTTATTTTTACCAACAATAGATAGTTTTTTGAGGGAATAGCAAAGTATTTAAGTCTGCGTCCGGGTAAGCTCACACACCCTGAACCTTGCAAGGTAAGAAGTTATTAAAATTCTTGGTTCTTGATTGCTTTTTAAAAAAATTTTTTTAAACATTTTATTATTTGACAGAGCGAGAGATCACAAGTAGGCAGAGAGGCAGGCAGAGAGAGAGAGAGGGAAACAGGCTCCCCACTGAGCAGAGAGCCCGATGTGGGGCTTGATCCCAGGACCCTGAGATCATGACCTGAGCAGAAGGCAGTGGCTTAACGCACTGAGCCACCCAGGTGTCCCAGTTCTTGATTGCCTTTTTTTTTTTTTTCCATTGGATTTGTTAAAGATGGAAAATGACGTTTTGGTTTCATACTGTACTTTTAAATTTTTTTATTTTATTTTTAGTCGTTATTGGCTTTATATATTTTAGCGTTAGTTATTTGCTACTACTAATCATAGCTGTTATATTTTTTCTATCTTTGAGTCAGTTAAAGTCTTTTTGCCTTAAATTCTACGCTTTAAATATTTCCACTCTGCTTTGTCTTTGTTTGAATATGCCAAGTCTTCTATTTTTAAGCCTTTTATTGCTTTTTAAATTGTTGTCCTTAAAAATAAGGTATATTTTGCAGAGTTTTAAAAATCCTTTTAGAAAAGTTTTTAAAGCTTGTTTTGGTTTTCTGTTGGTGCATAACAAAGCATCTCAAACTAGTGGCTTCAAACTGGAACTGTTCATTGTCCATCCTGATTCAGGGGTGGTCCCTCCGCTCCACAGTGTTCTGCTGGTACTGCGGCCGTCTGGTGGCTCGCCTAGACGAGAAGGTCTGTGGTTGCTCGTTCACGTGCCTAGTGTGTTGGTAGGGACAGCTGGGCTCAAATGGGATGTCAGGACAATGGGGCATCTATGTCTTTCTATCTGTCTCCCTGTCTGTCTCCATCTAGTCTCAGACCTCTCCTTCACCGAGTGGTCACTTCACCTGGTGTTTTTATGAGGTCTCCCCAGCAGGTAACCATACTTCTGATTCGGCAGCTTCGGGCTCCCAAGAGTGCTGAACGGAAAGCTGGGGCGTGTAACTGCCCCCGCATGAGTTCTGCCTCATTGGGCGGGTTGAAGAGAGTCACAGGGCCAGCCTGGATTCAAGGGACACATCTGTGAAAATGAGGAGGGGTGGTTTACTGAGGGCCATCTTTGGAGCCCGCCTACCACAATGAGAGTCTAAACCCTTCTCATTTATTGTGTTAGTTGATATGTTGTTGTTCCTTTGGCAAAGGCTTCTTTGCCTGTACTTTCCTTAGTGAATTTGATTCATGCGTTTAATTCTACAGATTTCTCTCTCAATATCAAGACAAAAAACAGTATTTTTACCTCAGTTATGATGAGTGAGTCCCTCTGCTTGGTTTTATACACATTTTAGGATTAATTTTCTGGAATTTTAGGCCATATTATAAATTTAAATATTTTATATATATTTTTTTTTAAGATTTTATTTGTTTATTTGACAGAAATCACAAGTAGGCAGAGAGGCAGATGGAGAGAGAGGGGGAAACAGGCTCCCTGCTGAGCAGAGAGCCCGATGTGGGCCTCGATCCCAGGACCCTGCGATCATGACCTGAGCCGAAGGCAGAGGCTTTAAACCACTGAGCCACCCAGGTGCCCTTATATATTCTTTTTAAAAAATACTAGATGTTTCCATTCATTTGGTAACTGTATAAGTAGTAATTACTTAGGTGTAACTAATTTAATTGACCTCCATGCATGCTGTCAGTCCAAATATACCATTATTTCTAGGGAATTTGGGTTTATTTTTTGATAAGGTGTAATGTATCTTCAAATAATGTTTTAGGAATGCTATGTAGGTTATATAATATAATAATACTTAATCTCCAAACTTACAGTGCCTCCTCCTGCGTTTACACAGTTTGGCTGTTCATGGATTTCTTGGAGCACAGTCTTTGTTTCTCAGGAAGTCATTGTTGTTATTCCATTGTCTTTGGGAATTCGTTGTTCTTTATAGGTATAATTTTGGGGAACTGATTTCTATTTGCTTTTCTTTCTTGTAATATAAAATTTTTGCCAGTAAGTCTGGTGAATGGAACTGGAGCATGACCTGCATTTTTGTCTTTTTCACCTCTTGTCAAGTCTTGACTGTAACTTCCTCATTATGAATTCAGCTTTTCCACCGTGTTAATTCTCTTTTTCTCCTGGGCTAAATGTCACTTCTGCTATTGCATTTTCAGGTTTCCTTGAAATCTCTCCTTATCTAAATTTCTTCCATTTCTTTCTCAGGACAATGTCTCCTTATTCCCGTTGCTCTTGGTTTTTAGAGGTAGTAAGTTACTCCTATAAACGGAAATGTCCAAATAGCTTTTCTCCACCTTATTTTACTTCTTACAGTCAGTTGTTGCCGCTGCCAGTCTTGCCTCTAATTATTGCAGGGCGGTACTTACTAGGACAGGAGTCTCCAAATGGATTCAGAAAAAGAGCTTCTGGATGGGGAAGGGAGAGTGGCTGTTCAGGACTTACCAGTGTGGGACGGGCCGGCCTATTTGCCGATTGCTGCCAACCTAGCAGCTCTGGAGTGGTGGAGAGGGGTGAGGACCTGAAACCTCTTCCCTCGTATTTCCTGGTTCTTCCCCTTCAGAGGCTATGGGTGTGTTTCTCGGTCTGCGTTTACGCCGTACTTATTAGAAATTTCTCCCAGACTCTAGCAAATTGTTAACGCTCAAAGCAGGCTCTACCTTCTGTCATTTCCTTTGTATTTCTTTACAGATGTTTTGTTTTTTTTTATTTTTATTTTTTTATAATAGTATCTCTTGTAAAGTTCTTTATTCTTTCATTTATTTATTTATTTGACACACACACACACACACACACACACGGGGAGAGGGAACACAAGTAGGGGTAGTGGGAGAGGGAGAAGCAGGCTTCCCGCTGAGCAGGGAGCCCAATGAGGGACTTGATCCCAGGACCCTGGGATCTGAGCTGAAGTCAGACGCTGAGCGACTGAGCCACCCAGGTGCCCCTTTACAGATGTTTGAAATGGGATTTGTAAATTCAGGTCAGGAAGTGGTAGCCTGGTGCTCTCTTAATCTAGTTGTTGTCTTTTTTATCTTACATTTTACTAATATTTTTAAAATGTTAATTATTTTTATTGGTACTGGGCCCTCTCTCCAGGTAATCATGGTCTCCCCCTGATCACTAACAGATACTTATGATAGAAAGAATATGGACAGCCTCTTATTAACATTCTTAACTCAGGTTAAGAAGGGGTGGGGGAGTCACTCATGCCAGGGTCCTTGCCTGTTGATCGGCCTGTTAGAAATAAGAGGTTGTGGGAACAGTATGGAGGTTTCTCAAGAAGTTAAAAATAGAGCTACCCGGGGCGCCTGGGTGGCTCAGTGGGTTAGTTAAGCCACTGCCTTCGGCTCAGGTCATGATCTCAGGGTCCTGGGATCGAGTCCCGCATCGGGCTTTCTGCTCAGCAGGGAGCCTGCTTCCTCCTCTCTCTCTGCCTGCCTGTCTGCCTACTTGTGATCTCTCTCTCTGTCAAAATAAATAAATAAAATCTTAAAAAAAAAAAAAAAATAGAGCTACCCTATGACCCAGCAATTGCACTAGTAGGTATTTACCCCAAAGATACAAAGGTAGTGATTTGAAGGAGCACATGCACCCCGTTGTTTATAGCAGCACTGTCCACAATAGCCAAACTGTGGAAAGAGCCCAGATATCCATTGACAGAGGAATGGATAAAGAAGATGTGGTTCGTATATACACAGTGGAATATTACTCAGCCATCAGAAATGATGAAATCTTACCATTTATATCGACATGGATGGAACTGGAGCTGAGCGCAGTCAGTCAGAGAAAGACAATTACTATATGGTTTCACTCAAGGTAGAATATAAGAAACAGCACAGAGGATCATAGGGGAAGGGAGGGATGACTGAATGGGAAGAAATCAGAGAGGGAGGCAAACCATGAAAGACTCTTAACTCTGGGAAACAAACTGAGGGTTGCTAGAGGGGAGGTGGGTGGGGGGATGGGGTAACTGGGCGATGGACATTAAGGAGGGCATGTGATGGAATGGGCACTGGGTGTTCTATGCTAGTGGCCACATGTCAACATCATGACCTCTTTTTGTTGAGGTATGATTGACAAAATTACAAGGTACTTACAGGGTACATTATGATGATTTCATATGCATATATACCGTGAAAGGATTCCTCCATCAAGTTAATTAATAAATGTATCACCTCACTTTTTTTTTTTTTTGTGAGTGAAAACATTTAAGTTCTTTTCATTTTTTCTTAATCTTATGTATTTACTCGCATGCTTTTATCTTTTTGTTCTTTGGTGTTAGCCATTTTGTCTCTTTTATCTCAAATATAATACGTTTGTTTTTTAAAAGTTTACCTTCTTTTATTTCTTAATTTTGCTATTCATACTTTTTTCTTAAAATCTTATTTTTTTCTGTATTTTTGTCTTTTTGTTTGTTACCCTTTCATTCTAATTTAAGTTCCTATTGACTTAGTTTTTTTCATCTCTCTTTTCTTAGGCATTGATTCCTGTATGCCTCATGGTTTTGATTTTATAAAGGCTGGAAGGATATGTAATCCTCGGGGTAGTAGCAGTGGCCAGTCTCATTCAATAAACAGGGAAGATCTGTCTCTCCTCCTCTGCCTGTTGTCTCTAAATAGATTTTTTACGTCTTTGTTTTGTCTTGAGCCCTAAAGTTATCACTTGGGGATATATTGATTAAACTATTTCCCAGGATAGGGATGATTTGCTTGCTTCCTGCAGGGATCACCTGGGAACTTGTGGAGTGGCGTTTGGACAGCACATATCATCCACATGGGAAGCTGACTGTTCTGAAACCTCTGGTCTGTAACACGGGTTTTGTTACTTAGTGGAAAAAAAACCGTGGCCTCTGGGATCAGACAGAGGCCGGTAATAGCTCTGCTGTGGAACAGATGAGCTGATTCAGAACCTGTCCTGAGGCTTTTTGTCTGGCTCCAAAAAGGCAAAAATATCTGTCCTTCATAGATATTATATTAATAGAGTGTATAAAATGTTCATTGTGCCTGGCCCATAGTAGTCGCTCAGATGTGGGACAAGCCAGGCCGCCATATGTGATCTGGAGGAAAGTAAGTGAGCAGGCAGATGATTCCTGAAATGGGGCTCCCCTAGCAAAGCCCGGAGTTAGAGAGAACCATGGAACGTTAATAGTCTGGCTGGGAAGGTCACGTGGCTCTGGGTTCATGTGTCAGCTTCTGGCCTTTCTCCACTTCTGCTGCCTTATGTCATGCCCAGAGATTAAGGTAGTCACGGTTTTAATGATTTGGGGATGGTGGTATAGAGGAAAGAATCACTTTACTACGGAGATTTCAGTTCGTAAGACATAACCGGACTTTCAGAAATATACAATGTGAGAAAAATGCCTGTTAAAAATCAAGGATTTTTATCTGTAGATTGGTCCGTCTTCCTCAGCTGGGTTTTGGGATGATTGTTTCAATGTGAGGGCCTCCTGAGCTCAACTTTTATTAAGCTCGGGATTTTATCTCCTGGACTGGCAAATCTCTGCTTGAGGTTCTCATCATCTGACCTGGCCCCCTAGTGTAGTTTGCCTCTTGTCCGGTCTTGCCAGAATCCTTGGGAAGAGGAGTCCATTCCATTTACTGCTGTAGGCTCTAAGTCTCTCAAGATGTGACGGGGGTAGGCAGGGTGTGTGGCCTGGAGAGATCTGTTTCCAGTCTCTAACTTCCCAGGAGCACGTGACCAGCCGTTGAACTTCAGGCCATTGCTGACTTTCTGTGCTTTGGTCCTGCAGACCCCTGGTTCCTAAGCGTGGCTGCATATTACCTGAGGAGGTAAAAAACGCCTGTGCCTAGATCTCTCTCCCATGGATTCTGTTTTAATTGATCTGGGGAGTGGCCTGGACATCTGTTTTTGATTTTGGGGGATTTTTGGGGAAGCTTTTCAGATGATTCTTACGTGCAGCCCAGGTTGAGGTCGTACCAGCAGACTGCCTTCATGCTTCCCTGGTCAGATCCTGCCTGTGGCTTGAACCCTCTGGCTGCTTCTGTTTACCCCCCTAATGGTACTTCCTGCAGACCTTCATCTGGCCGGGGGCTCGGGGGAGGCAGACCGGAGGGCCCTCCAGCCCTGTGCTGGCTTGAGCAGCTCTGCTGGCATCTGTTTCACAGATTGCCCTTTGCCTCTAGAAAGTTTGCAAGCCATTGCCTTTGGGGACCCAAGTCACCCTTTGTGTGTCAGAGCAGAGCTACTAGGACTGCTTTCTGAAGAGAGCTTGCTTGTACTTTGTTCTACCTTCTTGTGGCTAACCAACTTAATTTTCAAAATGTGTCACAAGCCTTGCCTCTTACTTAGCTGTAAAGCAAAAAATCTTCGCTCAACTGACTGTGTATTAGTAACGGAATTTGAGTTTCTTGCAGATTTTCACATCAAAGCTTAAAAATTTCAGTTCTCAAAAGCTTAGTTCTAAAATGAACAATCCCGGAGTTAGCCTAACATCTATCTCTAGTTCTCTACTATGGCTTTTTGTATTTTGTGTGTGTGAGGTTGGGGGCTGCTGAGTTCTTTCTTCAAAACAGCTGATGAGGCAGGTGAACCGAAATGGACAGAAAAGGAGCAGGAACTGAGTCCCTGTTCTCCGCCCCTAACCCCGCTCCCAGACCCTCCCCTCACTTTCACGCACAGGGAGCAGGTCAGTCATGACCGCCTCATGTCTCCTTTGAGTCAAGGTGCCCCATCGGAGCTTCCCGCTCAGGCCTCACTGTTTGGCCACTTGGTTATGCTTTTCCGTGGACTGTGATTGTGGCTTTTATTATGGGATATTGCAAAAAAAAAAGGATCTTTGGAAGTTGTGAAATTTTTAAAAAAGATTTTATTTATTTATTTGAGAGGGAGAGAGAGAGCATGAGAGGGGAGAAGGTCAGAGGGAGAAGCAGACTCCCCATGGAGCTGGGAGCCCGACCTGGGACTCCATCCCGGGACTCCGGGATCATGACCTGAGCCAAAGGCAATGGCTTAACCGACTGAGTCACCCAGGCGCCCAGAAGCTGTGAACTTCTAGGAAGGAATTCTGGGGATGTCGTTTGCAGGGCTGGCCACTTCAGAGACTCCAGTGCTGGGCGCGTATGGGAGAGCTTTCTCGGGCTTTGTGTGTTGGGGCGTGTGTTCCTCCCCCGCTGCTGGTCCGCATTACCCCACGGACACTCTGGCGCTTGGAACTGCCCAGACTTCCCTTTCTGCCGAGCAGATGGGAAACTCGGTGTCAGATCTTTGGCTTCCTTAGAGAAATATCTAGTGCACGAGAGCATGTACTTCCGTGCACTGACTTTACCTCAGCTCTATTTCTTTTCTTAAAATTATTTTCTGTTTGGCTTCATATCCTCTTTCATTTTTTTTCTTTTCTTCTAAAATACGCAGCCTTATTAGCCCTGTCATCCTTTTGAGAATAAGCTCATGTACCAATTAGTAAATAAATATTTTAAGAAACTGCCTTTTTGATATACTCTTCCTACCTCGGTGTTAGCTCTTGGTCTCGCTCTCTGTCATAGGTCATCTGACTGGTCCTGCCGCGTGGCTGCCCCCCGCCCCCTCTCTGCAGCCCCTCATCTGCGGAGTAGAGCCCAGCAGCTCTGGGTGGATGGCCTCCCTTAGCAGGAACTGCCTCAGTTTCCCTACCACTGTCCTGTGGCTTGAGCTCCTCCCACTCCCCTGTACTTCTGTAGCTGAGGGTGGTGGGCGGGGGTTGCTGCTAGGCCTTTGCTCTCCGTTTCCACTGATTGAAGCCTGTCTCGCTGCTTTCTCTTCTGAGTCCATTTCCTCGGTGAAACCTCTGCTGACGCACTCCGGGCAGAGTCCGGGGCTCCTGGGTGTCACTTCCTCTCCTGGTGCGCATGTCTGGTTGACTCACCAGGCTGCGGCTTGCCTGTAGGCACCTTTGTGGAAATTAGGAAAAGGCACCCACCCCTTCCTCCATCACTTTCAGCTCTTCCAACTATTGGAAGACCGTCTTAAAGAACAGGAGTCTAGGGCGTGTGACCTGGAAACAGCAGCCTGCGAGGATCGTGCTGCGCCCAACTGCGCAGTTTACTTGATGGCCCTTTTGTGGATCCGCAGCGCTGCTTGTCCGACCGGAACAGGCCCTCAGCAACCGTTCGCCAAACAAAAGAGTGGAAGTCCCAGTACCTGCCATTTTCTTACCACGAAAGATAGCAGGAAAGGCGTATATGATAAGACCTTCTTGCACTGAACATTATGGCTATATTCAGATACAGTTATTTTTTTAATGTTTCAGCATTTCTGAAATCAGCAGGTATCTTACAGTCAGCGTGTCAGGGTGGTTAAGAGCACAGATCCCGGGCCTGCCGGGGTCTGAATCCCAGTGCTACCACATGGACACATGTCTGTGACTTTGGGCCCTCTGCTTCACCTCTCTGTGCCTCAGTTACTGATCTGTAAAATGGGGATGATAACTACTTCCTTCTTCATGGGGTGATTGGGAGAGTTAAATGCATTATTCTGTGCGCAGTGCTCAGAATATAGGTGCCAAGCACCTAACAGTGAGAGAGATGTGTTACTTATTATATTAATGTCTATGCATACACTTACTACACTGCTGTTTCTTTTTAACCCTGAGAAACTATCTTTAGTTACAGTGTACAGCTTCTATTGCTAGCGTCTCATTTTGATGGGCGGCTGCCTGGCCCCAGGCTTACGGGAACTGTGGTCAGACACCTGCTGCGGGTTCTGCCCCCCCCACGCCGGTTGTCTGATCGCCGCGAGAGATATAGAGCCCAAGCGCAGGAAACCAGCAGGCTTGGCTGTCTCTCCTTAGTAGGGCAGAAGAGAAAGGGGGGAACTGGGGCCCTTTATAGACCAGGCTTGTTTTGAAATTTAAACCTAACTTCTTATTCATGTTGCAAGGCTTGGACTGGTAATAAATTTTGGCTGTCTAAAACTGGAAATCAGAGAGAATTGGGTTTGAAAAGTGATTTTAATGTAAAATCTTTATCTAATTGCAGCGCACCTTTCCTTTGATGATCTTCAAGAAAGCTGTGCTGTGAACTGGCCAAGGTAATGAATGCTCCAGGGCCGCGTTCCCCATCAGAACCGCCGGAGTAGTCAAGTTAGTCCGTGTAAATTACTCCCTTAACAGTTGCGGGTTTTCCTGGTCTCTAGTGTCCACTTGGGACTGTACCTTCCCGTGAGAGATGGGTGGCTCTTCTCCGCATCGTTTCAGGACCGTTTCCGCCGCAGGCCTCCTGCCAGCTTTAGAAAGTACAGCCTTGCGGGGAGTTCCCGTGACTCATGCTCACCGCCCCACCCTTCTGACTGCCCTTGGCATCAGGCAAGGTCTGATTCATGCATTTTTCGGAGATGCTCTGACCATTTGCATTATGAGACTAAATGGCTTTTCCCAGATCGTATTGCTGTAACTGACCTACGCTCAGCTCTGGGGAATGTTCTTACATGCTACCCGGCACCGGCCGGCACAGCAATCCTGCTACCTGTGTCTGGGGTTTTAGTGGCTTTCTCTTAGTTGAATAAAACTGGATGTAAGTAAATTAATACAAGGATGATCTACAGCTTTATCCTCCCTAATTTGATACGTTGATGAAAATCCTTTCCGTATATAAACCTCAATTTAATGTTATTTAGTGTTGAACAGGTCAACTTTAGCTCTGCCTGGGAGTCTGTTTAGTTCTGGGTTCCCAGAAAGAATATCCACATGGGGAACTTTCTCCAACAGGCCTTTTCGTGGATTCATGTACCTGCAGGTTTCAGAAAGGATAAGGAGACTGTTGTTACTACGCTCTGTATTCTAGAAGGTCAAGGAGGGGTGGTGAGGATATAGATACCCTGACTCACAGGTCCAGCTGGCGGAGGAACTGGCGTTCTGGTCAGTTCTCTTGCACGACAATGCCTTGGACCCCTTTATGTCGCATCAAAGGCTTTGTCCCAAAGAAGCGCATAAATTCTAAGGTTAAGTCTTCAAATGGGGTCATAAGCACTTTTCCTCTTTCCCTTTATATACACTGGGATTTCCATCTCTGTCCAAAATCTCATTTCTTTTTGGAGAAATATCAAGACAGAGGAATTAACCTAAATCTCACAGAGGGTGAGGATGCGGCTCCTGCAGCGTGCGTGGTCGCAGCCCACCGGAAGCCAACACGGAGAATCTGACTCACAGGGGTCTTGTTGGTTTTTTGTTTTGTTTGTTTCGTGTTTTTAGTTGGTTGTCAACATTTAAAATTGGAACCGTTTCCCATTTCTCTCAATCCTGGGAGAGCCATTCGGGTTTGGCCCACATAACCCTGTCGGCTGGAGCCAGGGGGAAGCTGTCCCTTGGCCGCGCGCTGCTCACTCGTCAGTGTCTGCCCTCGTTTGTGTGACTTGTGTGGTCCTGTGGGCATTTGAGTGGTGGCCGGGATCGAAGCCAGTGGCCTCCTCTGTTTTACGGCCGGGTATCTCGGAGCCTCGCAGAAAGGCCCAGGCCAGGTGTGGGCAGTGGCTAAACGGCCGCAGGGACGCAGGCCAGCGGCGCCAGGAGGTCCCGCCCGGGGTTGGGACGGGAGCTCGGGCCAGGGTGGGGGTGCGCGCTGAAGTGGCCGAGCGGCCCCTCTCCATCTGCTCATTCCTCATCCAGGGGGTGGGACATTTTTCAAAATATGAAAGAAAGCAGCCAGTGACCACGCCAGCCCGTTCGTAGGCTCATCAGACCGGCTCTCGGGACAAAAGGACCCGCTTCCTGTTTACCAGCCGGCCGGGCACAAAGCGGCTGTGCTTCCCGGCCGCGCGGGCTTGGCAGGCAGGCGGGGCCCTGTCCGGAGAGCCGGGGGCGCTGAATGCTTGCTCTGTGCTCCGCGGCGCCCCCGCGGCCTGGGGCCTGGATGCGGGCCACTCTCGGGAGGGCGCCCCCGGTTTGCTCCCGGACCGGCCCGGCTTTCTGAAAGGACGCAAGCGGGCACGGTGGCCTCGCCGCCTCGCTTTCTTTTCAGCTTTCCTTTCTCCACGGGCCCCCACCCAGGCGAAGGCCCTTGGCATAAACCTGAATGTAACAATAAACCCGTGTCTTTTGTTTTCGCGTCTCCAGGAAGCAGCATGCCGTGGGCGTTCGGCCGCCTGGTGCTGTCCTCGGGCGCGCTGGCCGGCGGCAGCTGTGCGCTCGTCTATTACCTGACGCAGAGTGAGTACCGGCCGCGCGGGCTTCCTCCCGGCTCGCTGCCCCTCTCCCGCCCCAGGGAAAAGCTTCGGAGCTTCCAGCAGATCAGAGAGAGGAGGAGGGAGCTATTTTTAGCAGCCAGGACGCCATTCCCATGGGCTGTAGCTTCCTGCTCATCCGGCGATCGGTTTCCCTGGACCTGCAAGTGCAGATAAAAGGCCCAGCTCCGTGGGCAGCCGAGGCCGTGCAGAAAGCCAGCCAGGCCGGCTCGCCAGGGCGCGCGCCAGAGAGCCCTTCCGGTTCCGAGACTCAGTAAAGAGGGGAGGGAGAGGGGGTACCAGATGGTTCACAGGTGGGGAAACCGGCTGTTTCTCAAGTGCCCTCCGCCTCTCTGCCCTGCCCCTCTCTGCTGCAGACTTAGTGGAGGAGGGGACTAGAGCAGGGGCTCTGGGGAGAGCAGAAAATAAAAGCAGAGTCCAGGATGTAAAATCTGGACAGAAGCCGCTTCCGGCCCCGCTGCCCCCAAATTTGAATTTGTAAAGACAGGCCACGGTGACTCTGGCGGCCAAAAGCAGCCATGGTTTTTCTCTAGACTTTCTTTGAAGATCCTTTATGCCCACCCAGCTTGGCTTCTCACCCTGACTCTGTGCCATTTTCACGTCCTGCCGGGATGCGAGTGTCACCAGCAGACGGCAAAGGGAGCTCAGTGTCTTCTGCGTCCACTCTGCCCTGCCTCCCTTCAGAGCTGGCCCTCAGGCCTCTGAGTCTCCAGTGGCCTGCGAGGAGCACCGCCTGGGATAGATAAGTCAGACGGGAATTCCTCAGTCTCCACTGCCCCTGCCTAAGGGATGGGGCCAGGACGCAACAGGAATGGATGCGTTTTATGGGTCGGGAGCCAGCCGGCCTTTCCCCCTTCTGAGGCCGGGGTTGGCCAGTAGACAGCTGAGACTCCGCACTGTCTGTGTGGCCCCGGGGGGCGGGGGTCTCTCCCCACAGTTACCTGTGTGATGAGGGATGATATCAGTGCCGGTGCCTGAGGTCGTTGTACAAGAAATCTCACAACCTGAGATACCGAGGATTGGAAGCTCTCTGAAATATTGAGGACAGTGTCTGAGCACGGAAATCGGAGCCAGCTTCTGCTCCCCCTTTTCCTGCCTTGGCTGGCCTGTTCCTGCCCACAGCCCCCTGCAGGCCCGGTCCTGGGAAGCAGCCCAGGAGAGGAGCACTGTCCCTGGCTTCTCCCGGCTCAGACTGGCTTTCCCGTCTGTTATGGGGATCGGGCCTACAGCAGCGAAGCTCTTTCTCGGTGCCAGACTGAACGCCGTGCTTGGGAGGCCGACCTTCACCCCTTCCCAAGGACAGCTTGTCTGCCGTGCGCCGCCAGGGCGACGCTTCCTGGAGTTACCAGCAGCCTTGGGGCCGGGAACGCACCTAACACTGAGAGAAGTTTAAAAGCTTTACCTGTGGGAACTGTTGCCTTAAACCTATAAACTTTGACAAATGAACACTTTCAGTGTCTGTTGCTTGGCCTAAGGGTTTTGCTGTTGAAGTTGTGGTCTTGTTTTTTGGTTGATCAGGACCTTCATCTCAGCGGAAGGGACAGTGTGTAGGAGTCCCGAGTCACAGATCTGGGCCCCAGCTCCGCCGCAGACTAGCCGTGTCACTTGGAGCAGGTCATGAGTCGTAGGACTTTAGAACCGAGAGGGAAGCTAGAGATGATCCGAGCCAAAGCTTGAGATGAGGAAACGAGGCGATGCCTGAGGCAGGAAATGAGAGATGGAGAAACTGAGGCACAGAAGGATCCAGTGCCTCGCCCAAGTCCATCTGCCGCGTTCCCCCAGGTGCCTTCTCTGAAATGGACCGCTTGGGAGTCCGTGGTCCCTCATTACTTTTCCATCCAGAAATTTCACATTTTTTCTGTTTCCGCGCTGTACATGAATTGTATCCTCTTTCTATAGAGAGTCTATGTGACCAAATCTAAAAAAGAAAAGTAAATGTGACAACTGTCTTTCCCCTCTAGAGGCCTTCTCCAAGGCTTCCTATTACCAGCTGGCCCTGGAGCAGCTGCACAGCCACCCTGAGGCCCTGGAAGCCCTGGGCGCCCCTCTCAGCGCGCACCACCTCCAGCTCTCCGACAGGGACAACTTCGTGGACATCGCCAGCGCCCGGGTAACGGCTTCCCCCGCGGGCTGCGGCCTGGGCGCCTGGGAGGCCGGGAAAGGACAGGAGAGGCTGCCGGCCGGGGGGCGTCTTGGAGGAGGCTGGAGTAAGGGATGGGGTGAGAAAATCACTAAGCCAAGCCACGACTGGGCATTGTGGAGAACCTTCTGTAAGAGCGATACGGATCAATTCATTGTCCTGTGTGGCGGGGAGGGCGTTGTTCTGGCTCGGGTCGCCACCTTGGACTGAGTGTTGTAGGGAAGGGACCGTGGTGGCGGACCACCGCTTCGGCTGGGGACGCGAAGTGCGTCCGCAGCCAGTGGGCGCTCCTGCGAGCGTGAGCAGCTCCTTAAACTGTAGTTTTCTCCCTTCCTCGCATTGCCTCCGAGGAATGCCGGCCGCTTTCTTCATGGCTCGTCCTTTCTGGTTCCCCTGGTAAACCCACTTGAGTGCGAAGTGCGCTCGTCTGTCCAACAAACGCGTCAGAGTCCGCGGCAAGTGAAGGACCGATTCTAGCTGAGTGGGGAATGCAGAGACGCAGAAGGCGCTCAAGGTCTCCGGTGTAAAACTTCCCAGGAAGACGGGGTGGGGGGGGGACCCCACACGGGCTGGGGTCTGCGCGCAGAGGAGGGGCTGCCAGGCCAGGGCCCGGCGCACGCAGTTCTTTTTTGGTGGCAGTTTGGGGCAGGTGAGATGTGCCATGTCTTAGCTCGTGAGAGGTCAGAGTGTGTTCCAAAAGATTTGCTGGTAATAGCTCCTCCTTTAAAACCAGGGATTTCTTTTTTCTTTTATTATGAAAAGTTTCAAACCTACAGAAAAGATAAAAGAATTTACACTGTGGCACCCACGTAACTGCCATCTGGATTCCGTGCGTGGCGCTGATCCTTGCCTGACACTGACCCGCGTGGGCCCACTTAACGCTGCGTTTCAGTGCAGCGCGGCCCCGTGGATGCATTTGCTCTTCCGTATGATTTTCTTGGCCTTTTTTCCCTCTTACTGTATTGTAAGACTAGAGTTAGAATACAGATAATACAAAGTATGTGTTAATCAACTGTCATGTTCTCAGTAAGGCTTCTAGGCAACAGTAGGCTTTTATTCGTTACGTTTTGGGGAAGTCAGAAGTTAGATGCGGATTTTGAAATCTTGTTCAAGGGTCAGCTGTTATTTTACTTGATTTGCTTTATCCCATAGCTGTTCATCTAGTCCGATCTGTCCATGAACACGTTATTTTCAGACATCCATACACTTCATCTAAACTCATAAGCAACATATCATTAAGCAGAGGTTTTATTTTTTTTGGGGGGGGGAAATTTCCCTTCAGGGAAGGATACAAATGTGTCTTATTTGATGAATTTTAATAAGTGCATACAATTTTAATAAGTGCAACTCAGGCCCCCACCTAGATGTAGCCTATTCCCATCGCCTCAGCGTGTGCACGCTCTTCCCAGCAGGTCCTCTCACATCCCTCAGCCCCGCTGGTGACAGTCACTTTTATGATACTTTCTCCAACATAGTTTAGCCTATTCCGGAACCGGAAATTGTGTGTTCCATACTTCCGGGCCTTTGACGTCCGTGTTGCCGCATGGAGCTGCGGTTTGTTCTCTTGTAGCAGTGGCTCTCCGAGTATCACTGTAAGTGCCCAGACCCTTGAGTTTGCCAGCGAGAGGGCTGCCACGACCTCACCAAACCGTCCGGAGAGGGGCAGGACGTTTGGATGGAGCCAGATGGAAAATCGGGGGGAAATTCTGCAGCTAGGCTCAGTCAGAAAACAGCCGATTCTGTGAACGATCATTGGACTTCTTAGGGTTCACTCTAAAAACATTTTTTCATTTCCTTAGAGGACAACAATCCAATTGTATCTCACATTTTTCACCCCCAGCTGAAGATTCCGGTCTCTGGCTCCAAGTCCCAGGGTCTTCTCCACGTCCACTCATCCCGAGACGGCCCCTTTCAGAGGTGTGTGGGAAGGTGGGTGGGAATGGGGGAGCAGAACTTTCTGACGGAAACAATCCTGATTCCTATTTTCACTTGTAGCAAAGTGATTGCCGTAATAGGAGTTTGTTTTTCAAAGCTTGGGGTCCAGGCTGTGAAACTTTCCAAGCCAGGGTGCTGGCTCTTCGCTCAGTCCAGACATTTTATCCGGTACAATCTCCCGAAGAGCCTCTCCTTGAAGAACTTCACAGTTAGTGTCTAGATCTCCAGTAATTGCTGCTGTGCAATAGCTTCTCACACGCCGGCCTCGGCCACTGCAGATGAATAAAGTCATGGGTTCCTGTTCCAGAACTATTCATCCCATCCCTTATATTAGATCTCCACCCCATTAATTGGCTTTTCTTGTCTGGTTGCCAGTAGCTACATTCGCTCATTTCCCCCTCGGGAAGCCTCCCTCTGCGATGCTTGCCGTTGAGCCAAGATGGGTTTGAATTCTCGAGGACGAGAGAGCAGACAGCCCTTGGGCAGCCCCCGCCTGGTGCCCCCTGGGCTCATAGACCCCTGAGCCTGGGATTAATGAAGGAGCTGGCGGAGCTCCAGCACAGCGCTGAAGGTGGATGTGAACTAGGAAGCGGGGAATAAGCCGCCCCAGCTCTTCCCCGGTGCCCCTTCCATTCACCCGTCATTCATTCTTTGCTGAACTTGCTTGACAGCGATGCTGGTTAAACACTGAGTCCATCAGACAATGTTCAAGCGTTATGGTAACGTAGCTGCAATATACAATAGTGTTTAAAGCTCTTAAGATATTGGGGCGCCTGGGTGGCTCAGTGGGTTAAAGCCTCTGCCTTCGGCTCAGGTCATGATCCCAGGGTCCTGGGATCGAGCCCCGCATCGGGCTCTCCGCTCAGCAAGGAGCCTGCTTCTCCCTCTCCCTCTGCCTGCCTCTCTGTCTACTTGTGATCTGTCAAATAAATAAATACAATCTTTAAAAAAAAAAAAAAAAAACCTTTTAAGATATTATTCAAAAATCAACTTTTTTTTTTTTCTTTCCTGGCCATGTCTGTTGCCTTGGTGTGCGTGAGTAGAGACTTTTCTTCTGTTTTTTTCTCAGATGGCGCCTTCAGGAGGTCGTCTTAAAGCTTCAGGATGGTCAGCAGATTCCCGTGTTCAAGCTCAGTGAGAACCCGGGTCATGAAGTAGAAAACAAGTAGAAATGATTGAAAAGACTGGGCTCCCTCCAGACACGGTCTTACCTCATCACCGCGTGCCCTCGTGGCTGCGAGCCAGGCGTCCCGCCGCCGGGGTGCTTGTGTGCGCCGGCATGTGGGGATTCTAATTCGACCACAAGTATTGTGGATTTTTTAATTTAGTTAGAAACGGAAATTGTACTCTAAATATGTAAGAGTCTGTTTGAAAGTTTGCGGTCTAAAAACAAAGTACAGAATGCCAGCAATCGGTACTAATAAGATGTTAATTTCGGCTAGTTCTCATCTCTCCTTTCTCCTCGCCCACCCCCTCCCCGTGGTTTTCAGTTCCGTCAGGGAGACCAGGACTCACTGGCACCGAGGAGGTCTTTAATTGTTAACACTAGAATGCCCTACCCTGAATTCATGTTGCTAAGTAGCTTGTGAACATTCCCAGTCCCTTAGGCATTTTTTTTTTTTTTTGGCTTCACTGCTGTTGTTTTTATCTTACTTCTCTTTTAGTTACCAACTGTCTGCCTGACTGAAGATTTGCAAAATAACTGCTTTAATCCAGACATCTTGGAAGCTTAAACTATTTATGTGTACATAGCACATGCAAAACTAAGTTAGGACTGGGTAGTTCGAAGCTAGCAGGTCCTTATCCTTCTCTTTCATGCACAACCCCCTATTCGAGAAGCGCACCTTTAGGTTTTACCTGTTTTATAAGGGAACAGTATTAGGAAGTCAAAGATCTTCCTTTCCTCTGAGCACCGGAGCTGATGGAAACCAGACATCTGATACCTTTGCTTTGAAAAGGCCAGTTTTACCCCCTTGGTGTTATTAGGCTTAATGCGGTTATAATTGCCTACAATGAAGGACATTCATGAGCGCTTTTCCTACATTCTTCATATTCCTTGAGGGAAGCCTTTCAGAAAATATTGAGCTTAAACACGCTGGTAGACCATGAGGCCTTTAGTCGTTGGAAGTTAGGTCTATTCTGCAGCTTGTTTCTTTAAAAATACATTCTTTGACTAGATTTTAGAGTGAAAAGTGAGTCTTTCCCTGAGAGCACTTTTGCCCTGTGTTTATTGATAAACATCACAATCTGTACAAGCTTTCAAAGTAAATGGTAACATTGGATACACAGTTTTATGCTGCTTTATTCTTTAAAAGTTGATACTGTTGATTGGAGATGTGTCGCTGTGTGTTGCTTCGCATCTGACTGTTCTGACTTTGGTTCCTTTCAGTGTTTGCTTGTTTTTCGTGCTGTTGCCAAATCACAGGAAACCCGGGCCTGGGTGGACCATCTGTTCTGAAGTCAAAGCAAGTGCCAGTTGTTGTTTGTGTAGAGCTTGAATTGAGAGACTTTCTAAGCTAACTGACAGGAAATACTATCATAGCAGGAGAAGATCCTGGACTTCTATTCGAAGGCACCATCTTGGGTGCTTTTCCCGGTTAAGTCTGCTTCCACGTATGCACTTCTTACCTTCTTGTATGATGGTGAACAGGCCAGAACTTGGGTCTTCGCAGTAGACAGACCTTGTCTTTCCTTGCTTTGAGCAGAGCAGTGACGTGTATCCGCAGCCCACGACGCCCTGTGTATCCAGTCATCACCGTGCCTCAGCCGTTGCCTCCCGTGAGCTACCGTGAGGACATCTTGTAATCCATAGTCATCAGAGGAAAAAGCAACTCGTCCCCATAAGCAGTTTGAGGAAGTGCCCCTTGCATACCCTGTAACGGACTGGACAGCCTGGGGACTGGAGAAGGGGCTTCACTAGAATCACAAGAATCGTAAAGACCGTGCAAGAGCGCACGCGGCCAACAACGTCACGGCCAGCAAATGGCAGTACGACTCCCCTGTGCCTCCTCTACAATATGCGGCTTGTTCTCGCCCCTGTAAGTTGCCGACAGCTGGCGTGCTGCGTGCGTGGGGAGGGACCGGAGAGCTGCAGAGTACTGGGATACTGTGCCAAGAGCGTTTCCAGCAGTGCTGTCAAACTGATGTAAAAGAGTGAGTTACTGTTCAGGAGCAAATCTAGGCGTGGTGCTCTGATGGGCCTGGAGATCTGAGATTTCACACAAGTGGAGAGAGCAACCCAGGGCAAGGCCTCAGCAGGACGAGTATGAACTGCGCCCCAGAAATAAGATGCCCAGTTGGCCAGGGTGTAGCTTAGCTGAAGACCTAGTAAAAGAAAGCCCTGGAAAGGTCAGCTGGCTCGAGCATGTGCCAGCGTTAGCATTTTGCAGGTGGCCGTTAGAGATTTTGGCGTAAGCACTGGATTCTACAGTTAATGAAGGTTTAAGCGACCATGATGAATGTGTCCTGACAGGGCTGGTGTAAGTGTGCTTTATTGACAGTCCTGTCCCTTATGCCAGTGTGTGAGAATTGGCTCCCTTCCTTCTGTCTTCCCTTCAACCACCCCCGAGTCTGGAGATTCACCACCACCCGAACAGACTAGGTGTGAGACTCCTGGTCTTGGTAAAGTTGCTTACAGCAAAGGTGAAGCTGAAATAAATTTCCTGTACAGGAAACAGCCAGAATTTGGCAAATAGTGATCTGTGGCTTCCGGTGTAGCGGAAAGGGCGAGGTAATGCTCGGTAGGCAGCAGCTCCAGCCTTCTCTGAAGGCAGCCGGCCTTAGGCCGCTTGACTCGGCTGTTTTCAGTTTGTCTGTATGGAAAGTAAGACTCGATCCTTCCCAAGCACCTGCCTTACAAGCGAGACCATGTTTACACCTGCCTGTCAGGCTGCTTGGGCAAAAGCGGCTGGTCCACCCACGACGCCTGATGACTGCCGGGGTCAAGGAGACGGCGGAAGGATGTGGGGAGACCTCCAGCGCCCGCCCACAGGATTCTCGCCTCCTTACTGACCTGTTCACGGTCCTGACTTGGGCCGACTGCAGCAGAGTCATTCAGTTGAAAGTACGGTGAGGAACGTGTACCGATGATACTTCATGTGGAAAACCCAAAAGATTCCACCCCAAAGTACTAGAACCATACAGCAGTTCAGTAACGTGGCGGGCTGCACAATCCACGCACAGTTGCTTTCTTTTACACTAACCGTGAAACTGTAGAAAGGGAAATTAGAGAATTGATTCCTGGGAATAAACCGAACCAGAGAGGTAAAGGATCTGTACTTGAGAACTACAGAACACTCATGAAGGAAACTGAAGATGACACAAAAAGAGGGAAGAGCATTCCGTGCTCCTGCTCATGGATCCGAAGAATAAACATTGGTAAAATGTCTGTGCTGCCCAGAGCACTCTATACTTCCAGTGCCGTCCTCATCAAAATACTGTCGGCATTTTTCAAGGTGCTGGAACAGTCCTGAAATTTGTATGGAACCGGGTAAGACCCTGAATCACCAAGGAAATGTTGAAAAAAAAAAAGTTGGGAGTGTCCTGTTGCCTGATTTCAAGCTTTATTACAAAGCTCTGATCACCAAGACAGCACAGTAGTGACAAAAGCGGACACATAGGCCAGTGGAGCAGAGTAGAGAGCCCAGATACGGACCCGCAACTGTATGGTCAACTCATCTTCAACAAAACAGGAAAAAATAATCCAATGGAAAAAGACAGTCTTTTCAGTAAATAGTGCTGGGAGAATTGGACAGCTGTATACAGAAGAATGCAATTAAGCCATAAACTCAAAATGCATGAAAGACCTCAATGTGAGACAGGAATCCATCAACATCCCGGAGGAGAACACAGGCAGCGACCTCTTCAACACGGGCCACCGCAACTTCTTTCAAGACAGGTCTCCAAAGGCAAAGGAAACAAACACAAAAACGAACTTTTGGGACTTCATCAAGATCAAAAGCTTCTGCACAGCAAAGGAAACAGTCAACACAAAGAGGCAACCCACGGAATAGGAGAAGATATTCGCAAATGACAGTACAAAGGGCTGATATCCAAGATCTATAAAGAACTCCTCAGAGAATCATGTCAAAAAATGGGCAGAAGACATGAACAGACACTTCTCCAATGAAGACATACAAATGGCTAAGAAACACATGAAAAAATGTTCATCATCACTAGCCATCAGGGAGATACAAATCAAAACCACACCGATATATCACCTTACACCAGTGAGAATGGCCAAAATCAACAGGACAGGAAACAAGTGTTGGAGAGGATGTGGAGAAAGGGGAACCCTCCTACATGGTTGGTGGGAATGCCAAGTTGGTGCAGCCACTTTGGAAAACAGTGTGGAGATTCCTTAAGAAATTACAAATAGAGCTTCCCTATGACCCTGCAATGGCACTACTGGGTATTTACCCCAAAGATGCAGATGGAGTGAAAAGAAGGGCCATCTGTACCCTAATGTTCATAGCAGCAATGGCCACAGTCGCCAAACTATGGGAAGAACCAAGATGCCCTTCAACGGATGAATGGATAAAGATGTGGTTCACCTATACAATGGAATATTACTCAGCCATCAGAAAGGATGGATGCTCAACTTTTGCATCAACCTGGATGGGATTATGCTGAGTGAAATCAGAGAAAGTCAGTTATATGGTTTCACTTACTTGTGGAACATAAGGAAATCGGAGGGGGAAACGAACCATGAGAGACGGTGGACTCTTGAGAAACAAACAGGGTTTTAGAGGGGAGGGAGTAGGGATTTGGGTGAGCCTGGTGGTAGGTACTGAGGAGGGCACGTACTGCATGGAGCACTGGGGGTTATATGTAAATAATGGATCTTGGGATACTACATCAAAAACTAATGAGGGACGCTTGGGTGGCTCAGTTGGTTGGGCAGCTGCCTTTGGCTCAGGTCATGGTCCCAGCGTCCTGGGATCGAGTCCCACATCGGGCTCCTTGCTTGGCAGGGAGCCTGCTTCTCCCTCTGCCTGCCATTCTGTCTGCCTGTGCTCGCTCGCTCTCCTTCTCTCTCTCTGATAAATAAATAAAATCTTAAAAAAAAAAACAAAACAAAACTAATGATGTACTATATGTTGGCTAACATAACATTTTGAAAAATCAGGAAAAGAAAAGAAAAACTAGAATTTTACAATCCAGGGTAGGAAAGTGGGAGATGAAAAAAACAGGCCTCTCAGATACAGGTCTATATCACAGATCACATACAGTGTAGTGTCTTTTATCACTAAATAATAAGCCTTAGAGGCAGAAATTACTTTTTCTCCACCACATAATACTTTTAAAAAATAGCTTTTAAATTTAGCTACCATGTGTCAGTTACGTTGCAGTCTTAAGAATTTACTTCCAAGTTTTATAAAGTGAGAAACTATAAACCAATCTCTCCCATGAATGTTGCTGCAAAATTCTAAATTTTAGCAACTGAATCTAGCAACATATAGTAAGTGACGTATTGTATTTTGCAAAATATTGTGCTGCCTATCCCTTTGCAGTGCCCCCCTCCATGGGATGACTATATAGCCCTGCTTTGAACTTAGGTGTCACCCCGTGGCTTGTTTTGGCCGGTGAATTTGTGAGTGGAAGTGATAGGGAAGACTTCTGAGTAGATGTTTTAAGGGCCAGGGAACCAAGGTCTGGTTCCCCATGTCCTCTTTTCGCTCTTCCCTAAAATCAGTAATATTCTAGATAGTAGCTACCCTGGGGACTCAGGTTCTGGAACGAAGCTATGTGACAGAGCTTACCGCTGAAGCATGATGGGCCGTGTAGCACATATGAGAAATAACCGCGATAAGCCCCGAAGATCAGCGGCCAGTTTTACATCAGCCTAGTCTAGCCTCTTGTAATTGTTCACATCAACTGAGAGAGGTTTATTTCAGGAGTGCTCGGTGGCTCAATCATTAATAGAGCTAAGGAGGCGAAATTAGGATACTTTCATACAGGATCCCCAGTTCCCCTTGCAGGAGAGGAGTGTGTGCACATGCCTGCATTCCCCAAAGCCAATAGCTCACTCAATGAGAAAACTACCAGAGGTTTTTTCCACTCAAGTCAGAAACAAGATGAGGATGCACTATATCCACTATTAACACTGTGTTATATCGGGTGTAGTTAGGCAAAAAAAAAAAAAAAAAAAAAAAAATGAAAAAAGCAAGAGGCCTAAAACCTAGGAAGAGGAAAGCAGTTACTGTTTAGGTAGATTATATGACTACATATCAGCAAAACCCAAAAGAATCTGTGGAAAACTACAGAGTACGTAGTGGAGAGTATAAGATTAATATAGAAAAATCTTCATGTATACAAGTAGTAACCAGTTTGAAGAAATAATGGAGATCAGACCCTATCTACAGCAGCAGAAAACAAATTATTTAGGAAAAAAACTTAGCAAAAAATCTGCCAAACTTAGAAGTGCTAAAACACTACCAACAGATGCAAAGTACGACTGGACAAATACAAAGGCTTACCACATTCATGGATAGCAAGGTTCTTCGTCGGAAAGATGCCAGTCCTCCTGGAGTTAAGTTTAATGTGTACCAGTAAAGATAACATGAGGGATTTTTAAAAGATCAGCTAATTAGTTATAAACTCATTTGGAAGAATAAGCAAAGGCAGCCAGGAAATCCCAGCAAAGCAAGAGCAAGGAGGGAGGGCTTGTCCTGTCAGACATTAAAATATAAATAATGCAGCGCCGACCCGCACAGAGAACACAGACGCATGTCCAAGTGCACACGGAAACCTGGTTATGGTAACCACTAGCATCCGAGTCGGGAGGGAGTGGGGGACATCTGAACAATGATGACAGCTGATAGCTATATGCAAAAGATAAAAACCGGACAGCTAGATGCAGAAAGACAGCATCGGATCCACTGTCAACCATACAAGTAACAATTAGATCAAAGATCTAAATGTAAAAGGAAACCGTCTCGATACTAGCAAAATTATAGGTAACTCTTAGAACCTGGAAGTAGAGAGATCTTCCCAATGAGTCACCATCTACAAATGATAAGGGAAATTAATAAGCTTGACTGTATAAAAACAAATTTCTGCATGTCTAGAAATAACAAAAAGCAAATGCTAAAGTGGGGGAAATATTTACCTTTTTTTACAAGACGTATTTATTTGAAAGAGAGTCAGGAGGGGCAAAAGGAGAAGGGGAGATCATCTCAAACAGACTCCCCAGCAGGTCCACAACCCACACGACCTGAGGGGAAACCAAGAGCCAGACCCTCACCAACTGAGCCACTCACGTGCCCCAACATTTATAATTTAAATCATGAAAGTTAACATCCATAATTTGTAAGGAGCAAAAGTAGAGAAAAACCATAACCTGGTAGAAAACTGAGCAAAAGATACTAATGAATGAATTCACAGAAAAAAAATGCAAGTGAATTATATTAAAGTTCAACCTCATTCTTAAAAAGAATGCAAATTAAAACTAGTGATACCATTTTTCTTCGAGCAAATTGGCAATAATTCCTAAGTGTGAGAACCTACTTTCTTGAAAAGCTGTGAGGAAACAGGCTCTCTTAAATTGCAGATGGGATGGGAACACAGTGATACAACTTCTGTAGAGGGGAACTTGACAATATCTAGAAGAATGTTATGTACCTTTACCATTTGACCCACCAATCCCATTTCTGAGACTGTGTGCTAAAAAGCAGCTGACAAAAATACAAAATGCCATTTACATAGTATATACTTAATGAACTCTATTTGTAATAGCAAAAACTGGAGACCTACAACCAAAATATCCATCAACAAACTTTGAAACCTTGGATACTTTAAAATCAATGAATCTCTATTATAAAATTGTGATTATTGAATGTTGGTTGATGAGTACATAGGGATTTATTTTACCATTTTCTTCTATTTTGTGAATTTCTGAAATTGGCAATTTTTATGTTAAGTAGCATTTCACTGTTTTCCAGGGGTAGTTTCCTTTCCTGAATATTAAGGCCACTGAAACATCTTTTTATGCTCTTTCATGAATTCTTATAATAAACCAGGAGTTTTCAGAGTAAGTGATAAATTAGGTATCATAACATTTCAGGCAAAACACTTCCCTTCTCCCTAGTATTTTTTTAAATTCTGCAACTAAATGAAGGTACTAGATGGTAAATAACCTTGAACAATTTTGACTATTTTAGTTTCATCAATGCAATTTAATTCTTACAAGTGTGTGTGAGTTTAAAATGTATTTAGGATTAGTTTGTTAATACTTGGCTAATAACCTTTCCCCCTACATAGGACCATCTATGTTGGTGCCAAGATCAATCCTGCTTTGGTTTCTGTGGCCTGAGCTAAAGACCACGCGTTACATTACTAGGACTGTAACTCAACTCTTGTCCAACATTCTCTGAGCAGCCTTTATGACTTTTTCTCTATTAAATTTTCTTCCAAACTGAGGTCAGTTGTAAAAGTTCTAGGAGTTTGTGGTTTTCTCTTAGCACCTGACCTTCCTCTAAAAGAGTGTGGCATTTTCTCCTACTTTTCATGTGAAAACAACAAAACATTAAAAATTTCCCAACTGACTAAAACCACTTATACATTTTGCCTATTTCATAAACTTCTCAAGCTAAAATATGACAATATGGAATTCATTATTAAAAATGGACTTACAAATTCTATGAACAAATTCAATAATACTGGTTTGGTTCTTCGTAAGCTTGTTAAAAGAAAAAATTAACATCATTAGGTGAGTATAAAGCTAACTGTTAAGTCACTAACGGAAAGATTTTATTTGGCCCAATTTCGTGAAGGCTCTTCAGGCCCTGTATAAGTCAGAAAATGTCAGTATATCTTTACATGTGTTTACAAAAGCCACTAAAGATGCAGCGCACTGCCAACAGCCAAGTGGCCAGCTGGAAGAAAACAGGTTTTTTTTTTTAAACAAATACAGCAACTACATTAAATGTATTTATTTTGAATGTAATGTAAAGTGGCTTGCAAAAAAAATCTAAATGTTACCTAAATGTTCTGGTTTTAAAACTGGACAAATCTATCAAGTATAAAACTGTGTCCCTCAATAGTGGACATTTTTTTCTCACCTCCCTTCTATTTTTGTCGGAGAGAGGTTTACAAAAATGTGCCTAAACTTGTGTTTTTCCTCTTCCAAGAGGAAGGGAACTTACCTGCGGCTTCACACAGTGGTCACGGGTTTTCACAGAAAACCCTGCCATCGTGGCAGCATTTCCTCTTCCTCCTCCTATAGCTCGTTTAGAAACGCTGGTTTCCGAGAAACTGTAAATACGGCCGATTTAGTGAGAAACTCAAACTGCCGGTTGGAACTGCCTCATCAGCTTCGGCTGATGCTGTATGAAGGTCGCGGGGCTCTGACACCTGCAGGGCAGGGTCCCGTACGGCACACCGCACACGCTTACAGCACGTGGTTAGGTGCTGCCACCAGCTCAGGACCCGGACATTTAAGAACTCGTGCAGAAGAGAGCATCGAGTGAGCCCCGAAGAGCAACTGTGAAGGGACTGGTCGGGCGACAGACCGGTTATATTCACAAGTCTCCTGACACCCTGAGCCTAATAAAAGATAAATAAGGACATGACTCAGACTTTTTTGTGTGAGAAAGATGTTTAGTTGCTTTAAGTTATACGGCGTACACTTTTACATTTCCATTTTTTAATAGGAATTTATTGCTCACTATGGGGCCTACTTCCAACTGAAGTGTTGATCCTAATCAAATTAAATTCTACGGAGTATCTTCATGTGAGTTCTGGGAATGGCTTCTTCCCTGATGACACAGTATCCAATGTCATGTTTTTCATGAACAAAATAAAGTTTATAAATATTTTGTTTTTTTATAACGTCTTAGTACAGTCAGAGGGCACAGAAGTAGAGGCTCAATGGCTAGGATGAATATGCTTCATCTCTTACCCTCTCGGGGGTTTTATTAACAAAAACAATGTAATAGCATCTTTTCACTGACCAAAGCAACCCCATGTTGATCAGATCACACGGACACTTGCAAGTGACAAGCACGTGAGAAGGCGGCACAGGTGCCACCTCCTTAAAGACAGTAGACAAGTAACCTGTGGTAGGGGAACTGGCTGAGAAGTCAGCACTGGTTTACGTTACAGGATTACTTAACCTTGACCTTAAAACCAGAATAGTCTGAGGTGAAAATTCATCACCACTCTTATGACACTGAAGAAAAAAAAAAAAAAATGAGCCAGGGCTTTTCACTGATAGGTTACAAGCATTAGGCAAAAGCAAAGACAAGAGAAGTCAAATCAAGTCAATATAAAGCAGTAATAAAATATAAAAATATTATCAAACTCTAGTGGATGTTATTCTAAATTTGGAAGATACATAATTAAAAAGCTTACTCCCCCCTCCAAAAAATCCAAAGTGAAAAAGTATCAATTTTAGCAAAGATATCTATATCTATATATATTCATATATATATGCAGATATAGATGCACATGAATAATGCTAAATAGATTTACAAAGATGTTAATTTGGCACTTTTACTTGGATTTTTAAAGAAAGGAAATACAGATATCTTTGCATAACAAATTCTCATTCTGGAGAAACAAGATTTAGAAAATAAAGGTTCAAACATCTCCCTTCTTAAAAAAATAACATGGACAGAGATAACTTTACCCGTTAAAACTCCTGTTTGGCAGCTTTATAAATCTGTCTTGATATAACTAACTCCACAAGTTTGACAAAGTTATTTTAGTTTCTATCAGTGATACCTGGTTTATCCACTTTCAGTACATGTACCATGTGGCCAGAAGTCCATAAATAATGTTTTCAATGCAGAAATCTTAAAGTTTTAAAGGGAAGTACTGCTCAGTAGATAAATTCTCCTGGAATTTCTTGTAGCAAAGGTTCCTCAAACTTAAATCGTTTGGAAATGGCCTTTTGCTCCATTTTCTCTTTTTCAGACTGTCTGCATTGTCCTAAAGTATATGAAGTAAATACAATTAACTCCTCTGTTGCACCTGATTCCTCGGTTTCCGGTTTCTGAGTATCTGAATTAATTTCAGGCACAGCATCACCTTCTTGGAGTGCATTTGCTGCTTCTAATGCCCCTTTCACTTTGAAAGAAGGATCGTGAACACTGCTCTCCGTCAACCACGGATGCTTTAGACATTCTTCGGCTGTGGCTCGATCTCTGTAAAATGAAACACATTTCACACTTAAGACAGTTTAAAATCTCAACTAGAGGGGCACCTGGAGGTTCAGTTAAGCCTCTGCCTTTGGCTCAGGTCCGTGATCTTGGGGACCTGGAATCGAGCCCCGCATCGGGCTCCCCGCTCAGCAGGGAGTCTGCTTTTCCCTCTCCCTCTGCCCTCAACTCATTCTTTCTCAAATAAATAATCTTAAAAAAAAAAAAAAATAAAACTTCAATTATAAATTAGAGCATACCGGGAGGTCCCCTGGCTAGCTCAGTCGGTAGAGCACGTGACTCCTGATCTCAGGGCTGAGTATGCGCTCCATACTGGGTAGAGAGATTACTCAAAAAATAAAATCTTAAAAATACGTAAATCAGAGCATAAGGTGTATTTATTGTATTATATATGGGGAGGTATGAAGAGTTGACAAGAATCTTATTGTGATCCCTGAGTAAGACTGGGAGTTTTGGCATCTGTGTGCAAATGCCATTCCCACAGTGTTGGAAAACACTCGAAGGAAGAGATCTCTGAAAAGCCCTTTTGGAAGACCAAACAGACAGACAATAGCTGTTTCACTGAGATGCGGCTCACGTTTTCTAAGAAACTTCATTTTTGACATTTCCTTTCAACAAATACAAATGGACTCAAGGTTTCATCTAGTTTAATGTCTACATTGTCCTGCCTTCCGTTTGGTGTTTCAGGTTAGCTGGCTTTTGCTGAGAGCAGATCACTCAAAAATGGACAAAGATCAGTATTCGCTAATACTTACTCAGGTTTCTTAACTAAAAGTGCCTTGATGAAGTCAATAGCAGACTCAGACACGACATCAAATTCTTCCTCAGAATAACTTAAACTCATTTGAGAGATGTTTAGGAATGTTTCTTGTTTATTATCACCTAAGAAAGGTGAGACTCCTGTGAGCATGACATATGTTAACACTCCAATGCTCCTAAAGCAGAATGAAAATATAAGAAAAATTAGTATCCTACTCATTTCTTGAAACCAATTTGATCAAGTTTTCAGAAATAACTCTTACCACATATCCGTCGCCATGCTGATAGGATCGTAACTAAGAATTTCGGGAGCTAGTATCAGAAACAAGAAAACATTTAGCTGTGTGAAAAAAAAATTCCTAATTTGCACTTTGAAATAAAAGTTTTTTTAAAATACGCATCAGAAACTCTACGACACCACCAAGATTTGGGCTAACATGAAATAGCATTATATAAATTAACATGAATTACTGTAAAGTCTAACTAGGTGTAATTAACTTATTTTCCCACCAGCACCCTCCATTGTTGGGTCTTAATATTTTTTAAATACCCGAATGCATGAGCACTGTAACAGGAAGTGACAGCTCTGACTCCTTCCTCTTCCCATACCCACGATAATCGAGCGTCCTCTCTGACAGATGACGGCTTTTAAATCTTTCTCGATGCCATCCAGGGCGCTGCTTCCCCCTGACTTGCACCCTAGTCCATGGCACTTTCCCCTGACCTCCCTGATCTCTTCTCCGTGCTGCGGCCGGAGGAGGTTTTAAGATGTCCACCCACTGACAAAAAGTCAATCAACAAGGTTAAAGAAAAAACTGGGCATTCTCAGATGACACGCATCACACACACAGACAACAAGTTGCCTCTGTAGAGTCCTGGAAAACAGCATGCTTTGATAACGTGTAACTAAACTGTCCCAGCAAGCGATACAAAAGGCATTCTCAAATGTGCAAGGACTTAGGAGAAATTTATGAAAATCCTCCTTGAAAGGCAAACTCACTGATATAATCCAGTCAACCACAAGATGAGTATTTTTTTCAAAAGTGGGAAGAACTCAAGACAGGCAATCAAGTATTGAATCCATTTATAAACAGATCAAAAACTAAACAACTGTGGTAATTACAATTTAAAAAAGGGGGGGGGTGAAGATATCTAATCCTAGGAAAAAACAAAACACTCAAGTCACATACTCATCACTGGTAGGGGACGGGGGGACACACACACACAAACACCCCAATATTGAGGGAGGAAGAAAAGGTTGGGAGAAAATGTTAGGTAGGTTAATTTCAACTTCACCTTCTGATACTGAGTCGTGAAACAGAGGTTATGAATATTATTTTAAAGTTTTAAAAGAAACTATTAGGAAATTTAAAATGAAATGCACAGCATCCAAACTACTGGAGGGGAAAAGGAGACCAAAGAACTGCTGGGAAGAGGGAGCAGGAAGTAAGAGTAGCTTCCTTTCTCATGTTTATTATAAACTGAACACGGACGTAAGAGTTGATAGAGCCAATCTGATGGGTAGTATTATGGTAGCCCCATTTTAGGGACAGAGGCATGGGGGGTCTAAAGAGATTTCAGGACCGAGGTCACGTGTACAGCCCGCTGCCCAGACAGGATTCTGTAAAGAGAACAAGTTGGGAGGCTTACACTCACCTTGAAAGTGCGGTAAGGAAAGAGAGGAGAGGCCCCCTGGTTTGTCTCTATTATATAGTTCTGAATTATTTTTAGTTTTCTTGGATTGGGAATTACTTTTATAATAAAGATAGTTCTGGTTTTTTGGAGGGGGGAAAAAAAAAGTTCTTGGTAGAAAACTGAGAATGGACCCAAAGAACAGAAAGCATAAAATAAAACATAAGAGAACTCCCTTCAGGGCAGTAACCACCACAAGGTTCTCATCTCACAGCCCTGCGTTCCGCGTTTGCTCCGGTCTGCAAGGCTCTCGACCGGCTGAGGGATCTGGGCTGCTGCTTCCCAAGAGGAGGCCTGCGAAGCCCCATCCTTAAACCTTCCTGAGTGGTCACGACACACACTGGAATTTAAGTGTTCTAGCCCACAAAGAACACATGAACATTCTGAAGGTTTGTCTGCCAGTGGTATCTTTCATTACCTAATTAAGGATGTTTCTAATCGTAGGACTTTAATTTTAAAGCGTTGAGTTATATATTTTGCACTATCATTGCCCAACAGCTTTGTTTTCCTCAACCCTATCCGTCCTCTGGAATTGACACTTCTTGTAAACAAAGTCCAACTACCCTCGGCTCCTCTCCGAAAGGAGGCCTCGGCTGCCCAGGCCCTCTAGAAATGCAGCCAGCCTGTCCCCTTCACACCTCCAACCTCCGCCTTCTCCCCTGCCCCTGGCTGCTGTCATCGGACACAAAACCACCCCCTGACCCGCCGGCCACCACCCTGGACAGTGTCTGCACTCGTGTCTGCCCTGGGCAGCCTGGCGTCCAGCTTCTGCTCCTATAGGTCTAGAGCGCCGCGGGCCACAGCCCTAGTAATGATGGAGAACTGTTCCAGCTCTGAAATTGTAATTGTAAATATTGTAAACTCTTGGTCACCACCTTTACACTCTTTCACTGCCTTGCTCTGCTTCCGGGTATCTTTTTTAACCTCATTCAGGCCACAGCTCCTTTTGCGTCCTGTAGTTCTGCCAGTCTGTCCAAAAAGTCAGAGTTCACTTATTTTTGAACCAAACTGAAAAGCCACGGTTCATCCCTTCGGCTGCTCTTGTACCTTCAAGGCTTAACACTTCTTTCTGCCAGAAGCTCTCGACCCTGCATTAATCCAACGACAACGAAATGCCACATGCCGACTGTTTCACAGGGCTTGCGATTACCCAGCAATGTTTGTTATGAACTTAAAGTTCTTTAAAGGTCCTTACTTGTTAAACATCCTCCCACCTTCAGGTAACCTGATATCCTATACTTTGTTAAGAAAATCCTTTTTGATTCCTTTTAGAAGCGAGCCCTTCAAATTCTCTTGATTCCCTTCAGGAAAGCTATCATCAGTTTGGTAACTTACCGTTTAATGTTTACCATTTTTAAATTTTTACACAAAAGAAGGACTCTGATGGTAGAATTTTAACACAGCAGATGGCCTGCCCCACTGTTAACCACGCCGCATGTGAGCTCCCTAACGAAGACGATGCCTGACCCCAAATGCAGAACATAACCCCCTCTCAGGAGTACTTACCCACATATTCAGGAGTACCCATAATTTCTCGGAGCTCTTCGCTGTTCTTCATTATTCTTGAAAGACCAAAATCAACTATCTTAATGTCACCCAGCGGAGATGCACTTGTCAGCAGAATATTCTGAGGCTAAAAAATACAGAAAGAGCAAGTAGCCCATAAAGCCTACACAGCTCGCCGGTGAAACCGGGATCGACAAATGGAACAGCAGCAGTCATTCACTAAATACTTCTACAATATATTTACAATACATAAGGCAACAGGCCTCATACAATCTCTTCCCCTTGTACTGGCTCCCGCTCAGCACATAAATGTGCATCTACCCCATCTTAAAAACAAAACCAAGCCACTCATAAATATCCTATAAAACTCCCCATTTCTTTCTAGCCAACGCACTCACTCCGGGCTACTCCCTCAAAGCTCAGCTTCTAGAAAGCACGGCTGTGTACACTTGCTGTCACTTCTCAGTGCAGCTTAGTCTGGATTTTGCCCCCTCTCTTAGCTCTAGCTGTTCTTACTAAGATCACAAAATCTTTAATAATCAAAGACCCCCCAAATCGAATGAATGTCTTTCAAGGCACCATTGTGGCTCTATGATTTGGCCTGCCAACCACCCTTTTACACACTCTTGGATGTTTTCCTCCTTAATAGATCTCTCACCATTTTCTAAAGATTTCTTCCTTGTTCCCTCCTTTTAAATACTGGTGTTGCCCCAGATCCCTCGTTGTCTGGCCCTCCACTATGTCATCTACTACCGAAGCTTCAACCGCCACTTACAGGCTAGTGACCTCTATCCTAAGCCCCTCGCTGATGCATAGATCCAATTAAAATCAGATCTTTTCATTTGGCTGAAATGGGCCACAGCTTCAACTCCCACTACTGAGCAAGGCCATCAATCCAGTAAACAGCTCGGGCAAGAGCTCTTCCTTCAGCCCCATCCACCCCATGTCTCTCCTCCTCCTCCTCCTCCTCCTCTTTTTTTTTTTTTTTAAGATTTTATTTATTTGACACAGAGAGAGAGAGATCACAAATAGGCAGAGAGGCAGGCAGAGAGAGGAGGAAGAAGGCTCCCCGCCGAGCAGGGAGCCCGATGTGGGACTCGATCCCAGGACCCTGAGATCATAACCTGAGCTGAAGGCAGAGGCTTAACCCACTGAGCCACCCAGGCACCCCATGCCTCTCCTTCTATACGCCCAATGTCATTGCCCGGGTCAAGCACTGGGCGGAATCAACCTAAAGTGCTGTCTCCTTCATTTTCAACCATGTCTCACACCTAGTGAAGTCACCAGCATGCCAGTACCATGTCCCAAATCTCAAAACCCCCAACTGCTTCAAGTTTGGGCTTTCATTATTTCTCACCTGGACCACTACCCTCCTGCCTCTAATTTTCCCCATCTTCAACCCATCCTTCACTGAACAATGATCTTGCCATAAAGTAAGTCTGATCATGATACTGGTTGCTAGTCCTCACCCACGAACACATTCTCGGAGGGAATGTATTTGACAATGGGCAACAGAGCTACCCAAGGCCAAGGCCAAATAACCTCAGACACTTTTACATAAAAAGTCAAACATATATGCTAGAAAATAAAATTCACTTTAATTTTTAAAATAAAATGACTTTTTAAAGATTTTATTTATCAAGAGAGATCACAAGTAGGCAGAGAGGCAGGCGGAGAGAGACGGAGGAAGCAGGCTTCCTGCTGAGCAGAGAGCCCAATGCGGGGCTCGATCCCAGGACCCTGGGATCATGACCTGAGCCAAAGGCAGAGGCTTTAACCCACTGAGCCACCCAGGCGCCCCAAAATAAAATCACTTTTGAAAGAAAAGTTTATGTTGCTTCAGAAAAGGGCTGCACTTCCTGTCTTCTGCCATTAAGAATATTTCCAAAGATAAATTGAGAACCATTTGTACCAATAAAGTATAAATACCTCACTACAGCACCCCAAGTGTTTCATGATCTGGCTTCTGCCTCCTCTTCACGATTCACCTCCTGCCACCCTCCCACAGGCAATCTGTGTTCCAAATCCAACAAGCTGTAATCCCTAAACAAGACGTGCACACCCCCATCTCATGCCCTTGCCTTCTGTGCTCCCTTCGCTCAGGAAGCCCTCTCCCCTTCTCTGCTTGCAAATTTAGTTCCATCATTCACTCCATGCGTGGCGGGTCTCAGCAAGGCATCGGTGCCTCAAGAAAGCCAACTCTGACGCCCCCTCTGGCCCTCCAGGGAGGGCTCGATGCCTGTCCCCCTCTACTCCACAACACCTTGTATGTGACAGACGTATGCCCCTGCTTGGTTTGTTGTCTTTTCCTCTCCCCTCTGTCACACTGTGGTTCTCCAGAGGTTTGTAATGAACGGTAACATCTCCCTTCCTTCCATGCATATCCAGCCACTCCATCTGACTTGTCTCCTCCTTCCTCTCCCATAGGTCACTACAATCCAATGACCTAATCCCACGCTTTCTGAACGACCGCCTTAGCAGTGCCTGACGTCGCTGCCGCTCCTTCCTTGTTTACAGACTCTTTTACTCTTGGCTTCCACAGCAAAGCACTATCCTGCTTTTCCTCCTAACTCTCTGGCTGCTGCTTCTGTCTCCTTTGTGGGTTCATCGTCCTTTAACTGGCCCATTCAATGGGTTTCTCACAGCCTGGTCTCGAGGCTCCCCGCTCTCACCTGACACAGTGCATCTGTACCCAGGGCCTAAGTATCGCCTAGACATTATGAGTCACAGATTCTTATCTCTGGCTCAGACCTCTTCAACCAACTGCTTACCTAATCTCCCTCCTTTGATGTCTCACAGCTACCTCAAATTCAGGACGCCCAAACCACACTATTTTCCCTCCCAAATCAGATTCCCCATATGCCAGTGACTGTCACTTCAGGGAATGCCACTCTCACCTAGCAAGGTAGAAGAAAACACTAAGAATCACCTTGGCCATTCCTCTCTCCCCACTTTCTCCTCATTTAGCTGACGTTTCACTACACCCTATGGAGTTTAAGTCATAAATTTAAGCATTTGTAGACTTTATTTCTCTCCAACTACAGAACACTCATTCAAGGTACCATCAAGTGTTTGCTCAATTGCAACAGCCTCTAAATGGTTTGCTAGGCTCTATTTCGCCCAGCCTTCTGTAGACAGAAGGATCTTTTGCTCCATACAAACCTGATCTGTCACCCCCTGCCTCAACCCGTCAGTAGCTTCCCGTTAGCCCTAACCTCCAAACTCCTTAGCGTGCATGCAAACCCCTGCTGGTCCGAGCTCCTCCCTGGCTCTCCAGACTCATCAGTAACCTGTTCCCCTTGGCTCGGCGACGGTGGAGACTGTCTCGGCAGACACTGTCCAGTGTCTCCTACTTGCCATGCTCGCGCTCACAACAGTATCTTTGTGTCCTTTTCTCCCCATTCTTCTATGCATCATGTCAGCTTGCTGAGAAGACCTCTAGGATGGCAGCGAAGAGATTCTAACAATGTTCAACAGGCAAGAACATATGAAACAGGAAGTTGAGGTCTAGGTGGTTCCTCTCTTTTAAAGGGGTTACTGTCTCCCAACCGTCCCTCCTGCCCTTCTCTATTAGGAAAATGCTTGTAGACTGACCCAAGTCTGGATTCAGGGGCAGAGAAGGAAGAATCCCCGGCTCCAGGAGTCACGCAGTGGGCCGGCACCCGGGGGGCACACATTAGCTGCTGCTTGAATGAAAGGAAGAGACAGAACTATACAAAAGAATCTAACAGGTGTCCACTTTGTGTCAGGATTGGAGGCACTGCAAATACGAGTGATCCCAACTCTCCGGTGACAGTTCCCCATCAGAAGAGAAATCACAGGGAAGCACCCAGCAGGCTCGACTAGCTCTGCTGTGCGTTTCAAGTGTGCTCGTGGACAAAGCGCTCAGGCCATCCATCAGCGAGAATAATTCAGCCTTGGAGAATTGTACAGGAGAGAAGTGAGCAGACCTTGGAAGAGGAAAAGGATACTGTCACTTATTCAAAAAAATTTTACTGAATGCCTACTGGGAAAACAGAAAATAAGACCTAAATCCCACGTTCTTTTGGAGGCTTACATTCCAATGGAGACAAAGAAGCACGAGTAAGTAGTAACACCTCGGGTGGTTTTAAGAACTAAGGAGAACTCAGTAGGGAAATGGATGGGAGTGTCTGCTGGGTGTGTCTGTTGTGCATGAGTGTGCTGGTTCCGGGTAGTCAGGCAAGGTTTCTCTGAGAAGGCAGTATTGAGCTACAAAGGAGCCAGTCACAGCACAATACTCGGGGGCCTGGCGTTGGCAGGGGGCATTCCGGGGAGAGGAAAGACCCCGCCAGAAGCAAGGACAAGCTATGAGTGGAGGAACGGCAAACCGGAGAACAGCACAAAGGTGGAAGGAACGAGTGCAGTGGCAGGCAAAGCCTAGTGAGCAGATGGGGGCGGAGGAACAGGAATCAGAGGCTTTGTGAGGCATTCTGCAAGAACTGGTAGAAGACAGACTAGAGGGGAGGTCAAGAGGACATCCCAGGGAAAGAAAAGGCCACACACCGAAGTATATATAGGTGAGCTAATATACAGCGTGATGCGTGCAAGGGATTCTCAAATACGAGAATGTCTTCGAAGAATGTGCCTCTACCCTGTTTTTGCAGTCCTGAAAGGGAGAGAGAGAATGAGGAAGATATGAAGAAGCACGGAATAAAACAAAACAAAACAAAAACAGAAGAAACTTTACACTTCCAGTGACCAAATCCACAGCCCAATGGGACTGATGCTGTGGAGGCACAAGGTGCTTAGATCATTCACTGATTAATAGAGCCAAGGTCAGCAAGAGAGGACAACTGGTTCCATTCGGATTCTCAGACCCAGAAGGAGCGGTGCCTGCAGAACCACCCCGGACAGCTGGCAGTTCAGTCTGGAGAGAGTCCGGGGCTGAGGATACGACTCCAGAGGACAAGGACACAGAAGCAAGACTAACACTATGGAAGTAAATGAGAGGAAGAGAAAACGGCAAGAAAAAAAGGGGCGAAGATGAGTTTGGACCAATAACTACATCAAATGGAAAGCAACAAGAGTGACGAGCACGTTCAGAAATAGTCTGAGGGCGCCTGGGGGCTGGGGGGTTCAGTCGGTTGCGCATCTGCCTTTGGCTCA